CTTTTTCTGTAAATCATATGCTGAATTATTGTCAGAATCAATAAAAAAGTATAGGACAGAAAGAAAGAAAGGTAACAACCACTATATTGAAATCGTGGCATATGCATTATAGCATTTTGATTGTTCCATCGATCAAAATCAAATAGAGCCTATGATGGAGAAGGTAAGATGTTATGAGTATTGAGTACATTCTTTTCCTATTCTAGTGATATTGATCATCTCCAATCGTGAAGAATAACTCAAGCATGGTCTTGCTACACCTGCATCCTATTCTTTATTTTGTCTTCATTATTACTGTTGTCACTTCCTTTTCTCCTGATCGATCCTCCTTCGATGCCTATGGTCTCAAAGTTGCCGCTAATGACATACTTCTTGTTCAATCACATCCCTCTCAAGATTCATTTTTGATACGTTTTGCTCCTTTCAATTATTCATTCACATGTACATTTAAGTACAATGATTCAGACCAATATGTCTATGCAGTAGCTGTTGCTCGACAAATGCAAGCTAACGACACCATCCGATTTGTCTTCATCGGTGTGAACAGAAGCACAAATGTTCCATTTATAGGTTCATTGACTTATGCAGGAACCAATAGAGCTGCACATTTAGCTGCAATAGCACCAACACGAAAGAGCACCTTCTTGTGCAGTGAATGGAACGCAAGGAATTATAAAACACATAATCTCAATCAGTTTGTGTATGAAGAAGACAATACGAATGGCAACATGAATTTCTTTGTTGTCGCTGTTGAGTAAGTGTTCTCTTTTTCTATACCCAGGTCGAACAGTACCGGCCGGTTCCGGCAGGAAAACACCGGAAATCAACGGAACATGGAAGCAGTATTCCGGCCGGAAATTTTTCGGATTTTTTTCCGGTGGATTCCAGCCAATTCCTGTTCTTTCCGGCAGGAACCGGCCGGAAATCCGCCGGAAAAAGTCCGAAAAATTTCCGGCCGGAATACTGCTTCCATGTTCCGTTGATTTCCGGTGTTTTCCTGCAGGAACCGGCGATTTTTCCGCGTCTTTCCTGCCGGTTCCTGCAGTATCCGGTGACCGGAACGATCGACCTGGGTAATCACATTTATTATCGAATGAGATCAGATACAGAAATCCTAAGAATACTGATCGTTACGCTCATAGTATGATCACGATTATTAATGATTATCGAAGCATATAGCGAGAAACTCAGATCTTCACAAACATGTGACTGATATATCGACATTCTTCAGTGAGTATTTCGAAACCTTATGTGATCTAATTAATTTCGATGGGAAAGGAAAAGTCAATCTATTACACACTACTTTGAAACCAATCTTTCTTCTGAAGTAAAATCTGTATAGAATAACATAGTGCTAGTAGTTATCGGTCATTTATATTTGAAATATTCTTCTTTAGGCCAATGGGTCAGTTTGCCTATGCATTCACCCAAAGTTTTCTTCTTTTGTACAATCTTGAAATGGATAATGTCTCCATTCAACTTGGTAATCTAACCTGGCCTGACAGATCGTTTCTTCCACGTGCTGTGGATATTAGTCAAGATCTATTCGTTGTAGTACTTGGCTTTGTGGGTGATCCGAGTAGCAACTATACTCCATGTGCTTATCTTCTAAGTAGATCTGGTTCAAATTTCACTGTACATGATACATGGATGTACATGCCACCAACGGCTACCTCGTGGCAAGCAAGTCTTACGAACTGGGACGCCGATATCTATTTAGCCAAACACGATATGTCAGTAAGCATCAATGACGCCAAAAGTCAAGTTCTACTCGGAATTCAAATAACAAATACTATTATATTGCTAGATATCAATCGAACTACTCTAAAATTCATCTTACCATCGCAATCACT